TTTTTTTTAGAAACTTCAAACATTTATATATCATCTAAATCCAAAAATAATTTTTTTGTTTGTTTGTATAACACAATTACTAATAGAATATCAACAATTTATTTAAACAGATAGTTAGAAAAAACAACAAATTTATAACTTCAGCTATTAATATAAAAATTATTTATACTATGTATATGATTTTTCTACTATACGCATTAAAATGAAATAATTGTTGAATCATTTAAATATAAAATTCTTTATTAAATTTGTTACTATATTTTTAATAATAAATTATTATTATAATTTCCTTCAGTATTAGAGAAATGTTAATACTCATTTACTATATAACAATGAATTTGTAAAAATTTCTGAATTTAAGAAGAAGATAATAATATTTTTAATTGAAATTTTAATTAAAATAAGCGCTTTTTATATTTCAAATAGAAAAATCAATAAAATAAAAAATCCCTTGAAATAAATCATTTTAATAATATAACCGTGGGTTTACACTGCGTATGAGTAATTATTTTCTATATTAATAGCGCAATTTTTAAATTTATTGTTTTATTTAAAAGAACTGTGTGTAATGTAATTTATTTTTAGTTAAAATATTCTATTAAAATTGTATTCATTGTTGATTGTTTTACATTAAACTATTTGCCAAATATGTTTTCATATTAAAACTAAACATTTATATGCACTTACCCAAGAAAATCCAATAGATCCTATAGCGCTACTTAACATATCACCCAAAATGGATGGGAATGAATTACCCGATGGAAAGTATGCAAAAAACTTTGGGTGATTCCAATGTACAACTCCTGGCATAACTTTCTTTTCAAAATCTTCCAAAACATCTTCAAATTTTTCAGCTTTTAATGGCGCTTGATCTGCAAAAGAAAAATTCAAAAATCAAAAATCAAAAATTTAATAAATAAATAAAAACAATATGAAAACACTCAAAATAAACATAAACAAATATATTCGACATTGAAACAATTAACAATTAATTAGCTAAATATTTTTACTTTTAAATATTAAGTTTTTAGGCAGATCTTTAACATTTCAATTAACACTTTCGCACGTAAACTGGAAGATGTGTATAATTTAAAAATAAATAAATTTTTTTTTGTTGTTTTTGGCTAAACAAAATCTTCATACAAAATATAAAACTAAATTATTTTGTTCAATTTAGAAAAGAGAGAACAAGTTCATATATTTCGATTGCTTGAGAAAAAACAAAACTTATTTAAATTAAGTTAATTAATTAGCTGTTTAATTAATTCATACAGCATTAATCAATTAGTCAAATTTGTGTTATGTTTTTTTTTTTTTTGAACTAAAACTTATTAGTTTTATTGCCCTTGGAATATTGAATACGAACGCGTAAATGATTTTGTATATTTTTTTAATTTTGAAATTATTTGTTTTAGCAAATTTTATGGAAATATCTTCATATAGTTTTGCAAGTGATCGTAGGCTATCGAAGGTAGGTGTTGGTGATGGACGTTTGTTGTTTGATGTTTTGTTATTTTTTTTGTTTTTTTTTTTAACTTAATTTTTATGTTAATTGGGATTTTTTAAAATGCTCATATATTAACGAAAATTAGCCAGTATTTGATTTTCTTTTTAAAATTTATATTTACACAATTTACTTCTTTAAAGATATGTGTATGAATAAATTTAACATGCACTAAAAATATGTTCTAATATATTGTTCTAAAATTAATCTTGTAAACATTTTCATATATATTATATG